TCTAAAGTTCAAATTTATTTTACCTGCTTAGTGTGGGAAATCTCAAACTGAAGAATTAACATAAAAATTAGCTCTGAGCTGGTGGGGCCCTGGGGCATCTTGCAAACAAATGGAAAATTGCTCAGGACTTAAGCTCACAGAATTCAAGCCAGGCAGGAAGTAAGTTCTGAGTAAGCCGAACTCAAAATCATTTCCCCTTTTTAAGTGGATCATTTCTAATATTGTATAAACATGACATCTAATATTTCCTCTTACAAACAAGCAAGCAAACAAAAACCTCCCCTTGATTTCACATCTACCTCTGCCTACTACCCCATTTCTCTGCTCCTATACACAAAATTCATTGGAAGAATTTTATTTTGTTATTTGTATCTGCTGTCTTTACTTCTGTTTTCCCTTGAACCCATTTCAATCAGGGTTTCATCCCCATCCATCAAAACCATTCTTTGTTTTTGTGTTTATTTTTATTGAGACAGGGTTTTGCTAACTTGCCCAGGCTGGCCTCAAACTTGCAATCCTATCCTCCTGCCTCCTGAGTAGCTGAGATTATAGGCATTTGCCACTGCATCCGGCTTTAAAATAATTCTTTTTAAGGCCATTAGTAACTTGCCTATGGTCAGATACAACGGTCATTTCTTTGCCTAATTTTACCAATACAGTTGATCACTTTCTTTATCCTAAAACACTTTTTGTCACTTGACTGCCAAAACACAATTCCTTCATGGTCCTCTTACCTTCCTGGTCACTCCTACAGTCTCCTTTGCTAATTTTTCTCCATTTTCCTAATTTCTAAGTGATGGAACACTCCAGGCCTCAGACATTTTCTCTAGGGAATGACAGAGATAGAGAAGATCCCTTGGGATCCCATTCAGTTTCATAATTTTAAATTCCACCTTTGAGTTTATGATTCCCAGATTGGGCTGGGGATGTGGCTCAAGTGGTAGCGCGCTTGCCTGGTATGCGTGCGGCCAGGGTTCGATCCTCAGCACCACATACAAACAAAGACGTTGTGTCTGCCGAAAACTAAAAAATAAATATTAAGATTCTCTCTCTCTCTCTCTCAAAAAAAAAAAAAAAGATTCCCAGATTTACATATCCAGCTCCTGGCTTCATCCCTGAACTTCAGACTTAGGACTCGTATATCTGTTTACCAGCAACTCCACTTAAGATGTTTAATAGGCCTCTTAGCCTAACATGTCCAAAAACAGTCTTTGTACACCCCTGACCAGCCGGCCTTCCCTATAGTCTTATCCATTTCAGGAAATGGGTATCCCCATCCTACCACTTCGTCTGTTACTTTACCTTCAAAACATATGGAAAATACCACCACTTCTCTCCATGACTGCTACTACCAACTGGGGCACTTGGATTCAATCCCAATACCTGCCCCCCCAAAAAAGTGTAAGTGTGTAAGTATACAAAATGTTGCTAAGTTACCTTGGCACAAATCTGTGAATGTGTTTTCTAAGAACTTCTAAGGCTAAATTAATTGATACAGGTGCAGTTACCAGCAATTCTGGACTTAATGTGTCAGTATGGGCACTTGGGAATGGCTCTAAAACTTTTTCACTGGCTGACTGAAACGTGAAATGAAGGGTAGGCCATCTTTAATGAGGTCCAGACGCCTGAACTTCTGGCATGACCTAGAGGAAGAAACCACAGGACCTAGTGCCATTATGAGAGATGATACCCCAAGAGATTAGGTGCTGTTCCATAGGATGTGATGTATGTATTTAAAAGCCCTGACCAAAACATGATGCTACTTTTTTCCCCTGTAGTTAGAAATTAAGGGACTTGCAAGTGGTGATGGGGCTGAGGGTGGCTCAGTGGCAGAGCACATGCTTAGCATTTATGAGGCCCTTAGTTCAATTCCTCAATCCCCAGCACCAAAAAATGAATGAGGGTCTCACTGTATGAGAGGTGAGCCTCTGACAATCACATAAGTCTAGAGCTGAAAAGGATATGTTCAGTAAATGAGAAAGCTCACCTGAAATAATGCTAAAACAGAATAAAATCTGACAAAACTATTTATTTGTTGGTACTGGGGAATGAACCCAGGGACACTTTACCATTGAACTATATTCCCATCCTTACTTTCTTATTATTTTTTATTTTTTTAAAATATTTATGTTTTAGTTTTAGGTGGACCCAATATCTTTATTTTATATTTATGTGGTGCTGAGGATCAAACCCAGTGCTTCATGCATGCTGGGCGAGCACTTACCACTGAGCCACAAACTCAGCTCCTATTTTTTTATTTTGAGACAAGTTTTTTTAAATTCCTGGCCTCAAATTTGTGATCCTTCTGCCTTAACTTTCTAAGTCACTGACAAAACTATTTATACAATGTCCTGATGCTATTCTTTTCTTTTCCTTTCCTTTCTTGGTGGCACTAGGGACTGAACTCAGGGGCATTATATCACTGAACTACATCCCAGCCCTTTTTTATGTTTTGAGACAGGGTCTTGCTAAATTACCCAAGCTGGCCTCAGACATGTGCCACTCCTGCCTCACAGTCTTCTAAGTTGCTGGAATTTTAGATGAGTGCCACTGTGCCTGCCCCTGATAATATCATTTCAATTCCTGGATCCAGTTATGCCTGAATCCAGTGTTGTCACCAGATTTTTAGTTACATGAACCAATGAAATTCCTTTGATGCTTAAATTTAAGCTGAATTTTTATCATTTGTGGCCAATAGTCACATGCTGCTAATATGTGACCCCATCCATTGTCCCAACTCACAGCCGATTCAAGAATACTCTAAGTCTTCAGTTCTTTCATAGTTGTGTCAGATAGTACTCCTCTTTTTTTTTTTTTAATTTTTATTTTTTTAGTTCTCGGCGGACACAACATCTTTGTTGGTATGTGGTGCTGAGGATCGAACCCGGGCTGAACGCATGCCAGGCGAGTGCTCTACTGCTTGAGCCACATCCCCAGCCCCCAGATAGTATTCCTCTTGAGTGCGTAGCAGAATTTAGAGAGAATGTGAGGAAGACCAACAATTTTTTAGCTTTTCTTGCCAATGTTCAGAAAGCTTTTACCACTATGGTTTATAATTAATGTATAAATAGTATATAAAAACTATTGGATTTTTTTTCTGTCATGTCTTTTTATAAAAGAATGCCCATATGGGGCTGGGGTTGTGGCTCAATGGTAGAGCGCTTGCCAAGCATGGGTTCCATCCCCAGCACAAGGCACTGGGTTCGATCCTCAGCACCATATAAATGTAAAATAAAGATATTGTGTCAACCTAAAAAACTATATATTATTATTATTTTAAAGAATGCCCATCCATTGTCTGACTATTAAAAAAAAAAATATTTGGGACTGGGGTTGTGGCTCAGTGGTAGCGCACTTGCCTAGCATGTGTGAGGCAC